GGCAACATATTTGCCAAGTATTAGGTAGTTCTGCCCACAAAAGCTTCCCAAAAGAACCAACATCATTACTTTGACAACAATGATTAGGAGCCTTAAGAAAATGTTTCCAATGTTATTTGGGGATCTTGGGTAGGTTAAGGAGCAAGCATGGAGTTGGTGCTGAACTGAGATTCCAGAGTGCAACATGAACAGCCTTATTGCTCCTCAGGCCTTGTGTAAGGCAGTTCACTAGACTTCTTCCGACAGGAGTTGCAGGAAGTTCTCTTGTATGGATGGGGTCCTGGGTTACCGCCAGCTCCCAAGAAAGGAAGGGGCAGAGGAAGATCCCTGTATGCGCCAGAGCACAGGAAATGCCACCTATTATTGTGTTTCAGTGAAATTCCGCAAGTTGGTTTCATATATGGAAGAGAAATGCTGTATTTATGTGGAAATTCTAAGAAAGCATTACACATTTTTCAGCTATAAAGATAACTTCGGAAAAACCACCCTGTTAGTAAATGGCACTTTAATGTGATCTATTAGCAGCTTTGGCCCAAGTATTGGAACACAAAACCAAGTTGCAGAGATGTTATTATTACATTTTATCTAACTTTCCTCCAAAGGCTACCTTTTCGTTTAGGATTCACATATCACTTCTCATTTTAACCTTACAACAACCCTGTGAGGTAGGTTCCACTGAGCTATTGCGACTGACTCACAGTCTCCCCCAGGCAGAGTTTCAGGGAAAGGCCAATCTTTTCTAAGTAGCAACTCCATGGACGATTCTGCACTGGCTCTCTGGGAGCTACTCTGATGTGCTTGAGTCTGATGGGAAAAAAAAAAAAAGATAATGTGCTAGAGCCCCCCCGGTCTGTACCTCGTAACCATGTTTGAGGTTGACCAAAAGCATCCCGTACTTGGAAAGTTAATACACTAATAAGAACACTTAGCTTCAGAGTGGGGAAAATTTGGGGGCAGGGGCAGTAAAATACCTCCAGGCATCCTGATGCATTCTGAACCTGGGATTTTTAAAAACATATGGACAGGCTCTCCATGATGAGATTTAAGATGCAATCCTATCTTCCTTTAGAATAAGGAGCACTCAAGCCAGTGGAGTTTACTTCTGAGCAAACATGGACGAGGCTGGACTACATAGGGCAACAAATATGAAATTCCATTAATTCCAGCAAAATTTAGGTACTTAACCTGTTCTGGATTCTTCCTGAAACTATTCTCTCCTTGCTGTTCCCAATTTCATACATTCTTGGATTGAGGGACCAATGTTTCCCAAGGTTGTGATTTTTTTTTTTTTTTGAAGGCTTAAAGGAGTAGCTCTAATTCTTTGGGGTTTGTGGGTATTTTTGGAAATTTGAGAATGTGACTGTGGGTGCTCTCACAAAATGGCCATTAAGAAGATGGCCAGTCATAAAACATCCTCTTATGAAAGCAAATTGGCAGGTTGCTTCCTGCCATCCCCTTTCACAGGATGTTCCCCAACATACCCCAACTTCTGTCTTCTTTCTAGCAGGTGGGCACATGTCCATACAGAATGTTGCTGACACTTTTAATATTCTGAAACTACGTACAGGAATCTTGGAGGATTCAAAGTCTTTCTTGGAAGTAAAGATAATTCTGGAATCACTGTTTCCTTTTGGTCTGTGACAATGTTTACATTTTTTTTGAAACTTGAAAGTATATCTTCTTTCTCAATTTGGATAGAGACAAGAAGTATGGTGAGCTACCATGGAGGTGTCCATGGAGATGCTAGCTCAAGGTCTGGTGGCGAGTCTCAATTTCAAAATGAAGCACTTGTTATCTCAAAGCCTTCCTTATTCCTAACCTGCTGAATTTGTGTTTTCTATTATTTCTATTCTAAATAGGGGTTTTTTTTGGTAGTTAACATGGAATGTATTATTTGTTCAAAACGTATCTGTAAGGGAAGTGTTCCTTTTTTTCCCCTTAAATCTAATTAAAATTTCTAGTTTATCACAATAATTTCATTTGTACAAGACACTATAGCTACATCTTGTAATTTATCTAAAAAATAAAAATTTCATTAAAATACAGCAGCTAGTCCTATCCTGTGATATTAATGAACAAATGTATTTACTCGGTATGGCTCTCAAGACCTTATATACAGAGCATCTAACTTTATTCGCAGAAAACGGGTAGCATCAAAGGAGTTCTGGGGCAGAGGTCTGGATGGAGCAGGCATGAGAATGAGGTCTGCACCTGTGTCTGAGACATAACTCTGTTGGATAGCTCTAAGAAGATACACCAAGACAGATCAGGAGCAGCAGGTTCATATATACACAGTTCATGAAAGCCAAAAGTTAGAAACAATAACACTATACTCGCAAATCCTGTCACGTAAAATGAAAAAAGAACTACAGTTTGGGTAGAGGTTAATTCTGGAGGTGCTTAGATTTTCCATAACTTTTTTCCTTTGGGCATCCTAAATAACTTGTGCATCAGATGAGTATCCTGCCAACTATTTACGGTACTACCAGTCCAATCTGGTGGAGCTGGACTACACAGTGTTAAATGGAGGTGATGAGGTTTGCAGTCCAACACATATGGAGAACACCAAATCTTGGAAAGACAAATTAGAGGTTTTTTCTCACTTCACAAAAATGTTCTACACATGTACCTTGATTGATGGCAGCAACAGAGGACTGTTTAGCATATTTAAAAACAATGCCAGGTTGTGCACCTCAATCAACTCAAGGAGAAAGTTAGATGGTGAAAGAAATGCGATGCCTTTTTTTGGCACAATTGTGCTAACTAGGGAACTAAGGAAGCCTTGTTCATAGGATGTTGTGCTCTTTGAGACTGCCCGTGGGACTAATGCACATTTGGGAAACTGATCAGAACTATGCAGAAGATGGAACCCCCACCCCCCACCCCCGGTTTTAAAACCTGAACAGGTTTCTGAATTGTGCATCTAAAGAAGCCATAATGTCTTACATGGGCCTCAAATTCTCCCTCATTTAGAATTGGAGGCTCAACCTTTCCTGGCCAACAGATCTGTGGACAAACATGAAACGGGAGGCTCACCCTACGTTTTCCTTCTGATCCATCTCTGCACTGCAAATAAATTAGAGAACCAGTATGAGATCTTTCACGTCATGCTTGACAGGTGAGACAATATGAGCAAACAGTGTAGGAGAAGAGTTAGCATCCTATTTGGGGCTGGAGCTACTCTGCTAATATCAGTGTATGCTAATTCCTGTTCCTTCTAAATGGAATGTTTCCTGAGCATTCCCCCTTCAGAAAAACACCCCAATTCACACTAAGTTGATACTGGAATATTTTAAACATACAACTGAATTGCTTTCCGCTGGCATTTGTGCAGTACTAATGTTCTTTGCCAGTTCCTGCAATTTCAGATTTTTGAACTGGCTGGCCCTAGACCAGATTGTAATAAGGATCTCAGAAGACTTCAGTGCTAAAGATTGTGCTAAGGACAAAAGGAGTGTGCTACTGACAGTTCCACTGAGTTTCAGAGCCCAGTTAATATCTTTTCCATTCTGCACATAGTTGCAAGCAATGGCAAGCAGATCTGTAAATGGAATATAATGCAGTTTGACTTTAATATGGTATCTGCATCAGGGAGGTCTCCCTGTGATGTGCTTTCAATCAACTTGAGGTTTGCAGGTCAGGCCATCTTTTGCAGTAATGGGCATGTCTGTACCTCTTATAATCAGAGTGCAAAAAATGTGATTTCTGAGAAGCATGCAACCCAACGGGCCATCTGGTGCAGGATGCAATGCCCATGTTCCAGAATTTTACCCCTACCAAACTCCTATTTCTCCCAGCTGTGACCCTGCTGTGCCTTTTACCAACCCTCTTCCACTGAAGCTGCCTCCTCTAGTTCCTCAGTGTGAGTTTTCAGATCGTTGCCTTTCCTCCCTTTCCTGCCATACTCCAGCCTGAGCCATCCATATGCTGCCTCCCAACTCTTTTGCAATGTCTTCTTGTTGTGCCTTCTACCATTTTAAAAAAAAATTATAGAAAGTAACACCCACTATCTTCCTTCTTTTCAGAACTGCAGGTGCCTCTCATGGGTTGGAGCCCAGAGGAGAAGGACAGACCCATTTGATTCTCTCGGAGCGGGGCAAGCAGGCTGCTCTAGGGCTATGTTCAATATGCCAGATACGGAGCCCTCCCAAAGGTCAACTGGAGATGATGGGTATCACTTGCCGTATATTTGCTGGGTGCAACCAGCTGCACAATAGACTTTTTGTATGTCAGGAACAGGATAAGGATAGCCATGATGTGGCATCAGTCAGTCCTGGAACCATCATTTCTTAAGTGCAAGACATAGACGTGCAAGATTTTCCTTACTGCTTTCTGAAATACTCTGCCCCTTGCAGTGAACGGCCAGAAACTTTCAACCTAGACTTTGGGCAACGGCTTGCTTTTCTATTTTCCTGATTTGGAAGTACTGAACAGCATTCCTGAAACTCTGGGGTGCCACTGTGAAGGCTTGTAGTCTGAAATCCCACCTCCTCCCTCTCTCACACACACATACAGAGAGACACAGACACACGACTTTCCATGTTTCAGGGGATGCTGATTCCTGCACGTGTCTGCTACCTAGACACATCTCTTGTCCTCCAATGATAATTATTGCACTAACGGTGAAGAGGAACACCAGAGGGCTGATGCTTTTGTTTGTTTTTCAGCCAGACGCAACCTGCAGCCTGCTGTTGCCTGAAATACAGGTGCTGCTTGGATAATTACAGCAATGTGCTACAAACAAGGAACAAACAGTGAAGGTCGTTTTTGTAACCTGGGCTTGTATATCCTTGAGAAGGGATGGGTATGTAAAAGCAGTTTCCTAAAGTCAGGTTCAGTGCATTAACCAGAATGTATCTTATATCTAACACATTTTTCTGGTACAGAGTTCTGACTTGGGTTGAACGGGGTCTCAGACTGCATCTCTCGGGCTCCTGTACAGTCTTTGCTCTTCCCTCCAGTCTTTTCAATGGGGTCATGTAACCAGGATGCTAAATGATTCACACCGTGAGTAGAAATTGATCTTGCTCTGGGGGTTTTTTCACCCAAGTGCCCAGGCCTGCCTTCTGAAATGCTCTGAACAGCTGCTGTTTGGCAGACTGATAGACGTGTGCCACTAGCTTGGCCTCGCTGTACACTGATGGCACTTCTCCATGGCTTGATATCGATGTGCTCAGCTGCAGGGGGAAGAGAAGGGAGGGGGAAAGTCAGATGCCAGCGAACAAAGAGCTAAAGCATCGGGCTCTTCTGCAGCTCTGTATCACCATTTCATCTGCATCTCTTAAGCTACAAAGAAATTGTGAGCTTTACATGTAACAGGATTCAGGGAAGAAACATTTGACGAGATCTGGGCCTCACTGCACAGAGAGTGCCAGACTACCATCTTCACACAAAAGGGGATTTTGGAGTGCCCAACCAACCAATATTGTACATCATTTGGAAGAATGCCCAGAGTGCTATACTTGTAAATTCTACCAGTTAATTCACATTCCTCTTTTGGACAGATTTTTTTTGGAAATGTTGTAAAGCCCATGACAAAGAATGGTCATTGGAATGTGTTAGTTCCTTCCAAATGGACTTCCATTCTTCTAAATGGTTCCATTTTGCTCATTTGGAAGGAACCAAAGTATTCTGAAGGCCACATTCATTTGCCATTTGGGAGAGGGAAGCAAAATCAAAAAGACTGCCATGTTCAGTGGTATAAATAATCCAATATGTTTCTAATAACAAACAGCAAAGGCATTGCTCTTTTTTTTTTTTTTAAACCTTCATAGCATTCCCAAATTCATATTCATAGAAGTGAAGCTTCACTTCATCTGAAATTTGGTGATGCTTTATTTAAAAGCCAATCATCTCTCCACATTTCTTGGGGGTAGGAGGAACAGAATTCCCCCCCTTCTCCTTCTTGTTATTCTGTGAAGTTTCTGATATTACTCCTGGGTTCCAAACGCTGGGCTAAACAAGAATTTGAATCATTCTGTAGATTAGCAGAAATAGATTTTCAAGGCTAAGGTGTTCACAGCAGTATCTGCTGGCGAATGAGGTTCACAGAAGTGAAAACCACACTATGGAAGCCTCACTCCTTGTTTACCTATGTCATGAGTAGGACACATGTAAAAAAGAGGCAAAACTTTGTGTACCTTTGGACACCATCTTGACGTTTTTGATCCCCCTCGCCTGGGTCTACATCCAATTAACTGTATTCACATGCAACGTAAATTTCTGTATATGTGGATACCCTCTATTGAAACTTTCTCCTTCTTCCTGCCATCAATGCTGCCATATGCAAGTCCCTCTCAGTTTCTCCTTCTCCTCCTACAAAGACAACTCTTCTGGGCAGTTACACCATTGCTAGTGGATGGGCCTTTTCATTTGAAAGAATCTTGTGTATGGCACATACTGAAAAATAAGCATAGGTATCACAGCTTTTATCCATATGCAGTGATTGACATCCTTCCAACCAAAGACACATTCTTACTTTCTAAGGTTTGAGATAAGATTATTTTGATACTGAATTTCAAAAGCTGTAATCTAATTCTTTAAGCAAATGGAGCTCATAGAGAAAGCCAGTCTATGGTGACAGCAAGGATCCAGGTCAATTTGGTGCAGAATTTCTGATGTTCTGATTTGGTTCCGCTTTGCACAGCCAGGGCCAGGAGCATCTGTGGGGGTCAAAAAAGTCAAGATGGCACCTATGCAATTGAAGCCCTTCTCTTTTAAAAAAAGGGCAGGACATGTTGACTTTTTTGGATTAAAAAAAAGATACTTTTATTTTTGTTGTGATTTATATATCTATACTTGTCCATTATTTCTATTGTGTTTTGCTAAGGTCTTAAATTGAAAACCAGCTTTGTAAATATACAAATGCTCAAGACTCCATGGAAAGAAAAACTGCATGCTGACATTTAGAGGAAGGATTTGAATGAGTGAACATTTGAGACAGAGAAAAGATGATGCTTCAAGTGAAAGCACAAGTAGAGATCTCCTTTCTGATGTGATACTGATAACATATGCTATAAGAGAGAGCAGTAATCGAGCATCAGGGATTTGTTCAGAGTGCAGAGCTGAGAGGCTGCATTGCTGAGTAGGAGAACTTTATGAAATAACCTGCAACCGAGGTGCCTGCTAGAAACAGCCTTTAACTTTTAAAACACACATCTGTAATTCAATGATCACTTCCAGCCCCTGTGCATCTGGGGTTGAAGACGATGATTGTTTTTATTTTATCAACTTCTTGTTTTGCACAATTAAATCAATGACATTGTTCCTGAACTGCCTAGGACACAAGGCAGCCAAGCTGAGAGTGAGAATTTAAAATGTGGGGGAAATCATGGAGGCTGGAGAATCCAGTAAGAGAGCAAATATTCAGTCAAGGGAGTGACCCAGCACCCTTCTGAGGATGTTTCTTTCATGACTTTTACACATTCTGAAACATAGGCATGTGTACAGAGGGGACATCTTGTCAAAGGAATTGAAGCAGAGACAGAAGCCAGAGGCTCCTTCTTTATTCATCTCTTTATCTCTGCTCTGCTCTCTCCTGATGGGAAGCTGGATTTGTCAAGACTTCTCTTCAGCCTACTTCCTACAGGAAAAAGAGGATTTCCTGACTTTCATCCTTTCCCCAACCATGAGGATAGACCTTTCAGAGACACAGGTGTTCTGTTGCACCATGTAAGCTCCTTAATAAACTTTACCTGTTTATTCAAGAATCTGTCTCTACATCCTCATTATAGGCTTGGTTCTACCCACATGCACATGGTCTGCTAAATATAAACCACAGTGAATGAACCACTGGAGTCCAACCAGGGTTATCTCAATTTTTACTCCTTCAAAAGGTTGATAATAGGTATCATCTTCTACTTTTTCTTTCTCTAAAGTTGATGCAGCCAAGGTGGAAAAGAAACGTTACCAAAAACACACAATTGCTCCATACATATTTCATGCAGTCTCCAGAGATACAAAGATATTTTGAGCAGCAACAAAAAAAGCCATGGCTTTCATAGTTAACAGATTGTACCTTAGCAATGCACAATAGGGTATTGGCTTAAATGGCTTTTAGAAACATTAGAGAAAGGCTCATCCTTGCATCTGGCTAACCATGGGAATAAACGCCTTGCTAACAATTTTTAGAGAATATGCCTTCAATCACATCTGGAAAAGCAGCCATAAGTCTCATGAAAACACAGTATATTCTTTGATTCAGTGGAAGGCATGCTTTGGCTTTGATTTCTGTATGAAGTAGGAGTTGGATCCTTCCACTCTACCCTCAGGCCTTAGCAAGTGGAAGGGAGTCATAGAAACATAACACTGCAAGGACTCAACTCTTATTCTATGCAGAAATCAAAGCCAGCTCACCTTATCTCAGTTGGAAGTTAAACAGGGTGAGGCCTGGTTGATGTTTGGATGGGACACAGCCAGGGAGCACGGGGGCAAAGAAGTCAAAAGACATCGCAGAAGAAGGCAAGGCCAAACCACTTCCATGCTGCTGCCAAAAAATTGCACAGATGTGCCCATGAAGTTACCAGGAGTTAAGCTTTCCTTATTCATTTATTCAAAAGGTGTATATGGTTGGTAATTGGATCTAAATAAGTTTGTCTGATGCAGAGAACGGAAAATATGTACATTTGATCTTCGCACTTGCAAGGGCAGCCCATGACTTTTGGACAAGGATGTCCATGCTAAAATACTGAATAAAGGTTTGCAGTTGATGAAATTTGGTGAGAGATGAAAGATGTCCTCTACCACCCAAGTGGCCCAGTTTTGTTTTCACTAATGCAACTCACACTTACCCTTCCATAAAGTTTTGCCCACTGAGTATAAAACATGTGCTTGCAGAGTCGTGAAGAACTCCCACAGTTTTTTTTCCCTGTTGTGGCATTAATAAGTTCTAAGTCTGCTGTGCCTGCTATCCAATTCACGCTGAAACCAGGAGATTTCCCTGCCCGCCTCCTCTCAGCATTACTTACTCCTGTCAAAGGGAAAGCAGAAAACATCAAGCATTAAAAGCAATAGTTCTGGCAAATAAGAAATGGAACTTCCATTTTATTGGGAAATAAACTGTATTTCCATACCTATATACAAATCAATATATTCTGATCCTTTGACTGGGATCTGCTTGGCACAATATACGTTTTTAGGGACAATTCAATTAATGCTGTTGAAATATAATTAGGATTCTTGTTTGTATGTATACATTTTGAGAATCTTTGTTCATATGAAATCATCATCTTGTTGACAATGATCTATATTAATTGCTTTTTCCTATAAGTGTTTCATATGGAGAAAATTCTAAATCAGGGCTCATAAAAAATAAAGATAGCAAGTGTTGGTCCAAAGGATGGGTGGATTCTAAATTCCATAGCTGAATAATATATTTATTGGGATCGACCAAAATGACACAAAAATATGGAATCAGATTTCTTCACTAGGTAAAGTGATAGACAAAGCCATTTGGCCTGAAAAAGAGTTTAGGAGATTTCTTATATTTGCAAACTTTTTCATTTTACTCTCATAGTCCTAATAAGGATATTAACCATTTTTATTCTTAAAAGGTGATGTAAAAATAAGGAAAATATTCATTTTTTAAACTTTATTTTATTAGTTATTATCTACCAGCATGCAAATCAGTCTCAGAGACATCACTGCAATACAGATTCTTAATATTTTTAGCCTTGGTTTAATAAAAGTGACAAAAAATGTAGCAAAATAAAAAATACATAATAAAATAAATAATTGCTCATTATTATGCTACACTATATATACTACCTAGATAATAGGTCTGTGTGAATCATGCAAATGCAGTTCAAATTGTTTGATTTGGAAAATTAATCCAGTTTGACAATGCATATCAATTTGGAAAGTCAGTTCAATTCAATTTCTTCGGACTGAATCAATGAAATGGATAGATTAGGTCTGAATTTCAGAATCGATTTGGCACAAGCTGTTTCTGTGCATGGGTAGAAGCATCCAAAATCATCCATACCAATTCAAAACATCCAATTTGATGATAGAAATTATGTTTCTGAGTCAATTCAGAAAACCAATTTGATCTGGAGATTTGACTGACATGCCTTTAAATAAAATCTCCAAATTAAATATCTGCATAACCCGAATAGATAAAGCAGCTTTGATGTATATAAGGATTAAGTAAATTAGAGGTACTAAAACACTGTATGCATTTGCATCAGAGGCAACTGGAAAATACACTTGAAATGGCTGCTTATTTATTAAAGGTTTATTAAAAAACCCATTTCCTTAGCTAAGTTTCCCTATCCTAAGTTACTATGTACAGATGGATTGAAATGAAAATATAATTGAGTTATTATTTCATGCTGAACTTGTAATCACATTTATGTCACATTAATAGCAACCTCCATTCCTTCACTAGGATAACTGATCAGTTTGTATCTTAGGGGGAAAATGCTATAAAATAAATGTGTGTACTAACACCATGGCACTATTTAAATACTTCCATCTGACAACCGTTGCAAGCAGATCTGACTGTATGACTTGACACTGATGTGTCAGCCTCTGTCAGAATTAGGACCTAATTTAGTGAATGGTGTGCCAACCTATGACAATGTGTGCCAGATAAGGCCTGTCTAGGATAAAGCCATAGGTAACAGAACAAACACAGATGCAGCCCCCTAATGATCAGAAGAAAATAAAGCACTTGGTCAGATTAATAGCTTTTGCATGCATTGCCAAAGAATCCAGAAAATAAAAGCTAAGCACAAACTGTCCCCAGACACTTCCTATGAAGAGATCAACATTTCTGTTAGAAAATAAAAAGAAATGGAAGCTTGTAGGAGTTAAAGTCTGGTTATTAATAAATATATTTTGTGAGCAGAGACTGCAGCATTTTTATCCCTTGTCTTCCAAAAGCATATTTTTTGTGGAAGAGGTTTTAGGGAACTTGGAGAAATTAAATAGGAAAGCACTGTAGCAAAGTACTAACTCTAAGCTGTGGTAACAACCTCTAATCTCCCTGTAAAGAAAATAATTGGTTTTGAATCTGAGAGACCTTTGCATCATATCCATTTTGGACTCCATTGTATCAATAGAAGAGAACGAAGAATACTCCATTGTATGTCCTTGGCTGGGTAGGCTCTGGCCTTACATTTCTGAAGTGGGATAAATTAAAGAACCTACCTCAGAAAGTAGAAAAATACAGTCAATCCTTTGCAAATCAAAAGTGCAACTGGAGTGATAACTTGCTGGAAAGAGCTGGGGTGAGTCCTTAATGCATTGTCAGAAAGGATGACACATTGCTAAAACAGAGGTCAAAAGAGGACACAAATCTGCACATATTAATTAGTAGGGAGGACTATCCAGGTCACTTGAGTGCCTTTTCGGTCTTATTCTCCAGATGTTAATTGGTGGATCCAGACCCTTGTTCTCCTACTTTAGATTTTTTATCTTTAAAAAAACAGTAAGTCCAAAACATTTTGAACACTTAAAAAGCCTCTGACTCTCTCGTGAGCAACTAGTGCAAACGCTACCATCCAGGAAAGACTGTAGCTTAGAAGCAAATCATGAGTCTGCATGCTCAAAGACCAGTACACTCAGGAAATCTGGGGGCAGCATTGGAAAAGACCTCTTCTGCTGAGATACTAGAACATCAAAGTCCAAGCAGGCAACGCTGGGTGAGGTTGGACCAGTGTTGTGATATGTGTGTGTATGTGTGTGTGTATAAATAACATACCCACACACCCATACCAAGAATAATGGAAAAATTGCTCAGTTGGATAATGACTGCATCTAACTCTATAGTCTTTCTAGTCATCTAAAGATGTATTTAACAATGGTTAATGGTGCAAGCCATTTTTAAAAAAAAAATTAGTATGCATTAATCATATAACAAGCTACTATAAAGGTCCAATTCATATATTCACATAGAGCCATGTGAAAAACCATTAATGTGAACAGTTCCCTTTCAAATACCAAAGAATTTAAACAATGCTGATTCAGGAAATCTTGTTTCTCTGCAGCAGCAAAGTTACTGGGGTGCTCAGTAACTTTAACCATCTTATGTCTTTACCTGTTAAGAAAAGTAGGGATGGCTGAAGCCAATGAACTACTGGTGATAAGGGAAATAGAAAGGGGGCTTTGAACAAAGAGGAAAGATCTCACTTGGGATGGACTAGGTCAGGTGGGAGGAGGGTCATCCTCCCTTTTATACATACATCTGGAAGTGCCAGGCTGACCTAAAGGATTATCACATCCAGTTAGGTGTTCTTTCGCTTCTCATGGCTCCTGCTAAACTGTTTATAGGATCAAAACACACACACAAACAAAAAATGTGATGTCTTCTCTTGGTGTTCAACACTTCTAACATTGATCATCACGAAGGTTCCAAAATTAGATTTTGTGGGAGCCTTTGTAACAGTTAACATATTTATAGAGGCTGTGGTCCCTGAGCAATTACAAAGTACAGAAGAGGAAATAGATTATCTGGATCCTTTTCAGTCAGAGTTCAGATCTAGGGACAGATGGCACCAGTCACTTTTGTGGATGACATTGTCAGGACTTGGATGGAGGTAGTACTTCCCTCTTGACATACTCTCAGTGGCCTTCACTGTCATTGATCATGGTACCTTCTGGACCACCTGGGAGGGTTTGGAATTGGAGACATGATTCTGACATAGTCCCGTTCCTTCTTTAGTGAGCCGTTCCTATTTGTGATGATCAGATAAAGAGATTGGCCAGATTAACATCTACATAAAGTCTTTGGGAGAGATCATCCATTGGTTCAGGTTTCATATCATCAATATGCTGATGGTACTTAACTGTATGTCGGATCCTAGGTTGAGCAGGAGATGCCATCAATCTCTTGCCCCAGTGTCTGGAGACTGCTAGGGCCCAGAAGGGATGAAACAGACTAAGGTTGAATCCAGCCAGATGGAGTTGGTCTGATCATCAAGTTGCTCTGAGTGTTCCAATGCTGTTTTTCAATGGGTGGCACTGCCCTTGAAAAACATGACTTGTGGGTATTCTTGGACTTGTGGTTACTGCTTTATGAGCAGATAGAGGTTATGGCCAGGGGGTCTTTGCCCAACTTTAGTTGGTGTGATAGTTTTGGACCTACCTGGAGCAGGAGGACCATGCAGCAGTAACGCATGTCCTCATCTCTATATACTTCACTAATGCATCCACAATACATGGGGCTGCTTTTGAAGACTATTTGGAAACTTCTATTAGCCCAAAATGCAAAAACCTGGGTATTGGTTGGCATTTGCACCAGCTTCCTTTTTCCTTCTGGTTGTAATTCAAATGCTGTTTTTACCTATTATGCCCTATATTGGCACCAAGGTATTGGCAGGATTGCTTCCTCCAGCCAATATTAAGATACCCAATGTATCCTAGAAGAAACAATAAAAGAGCCCACATTTCCATGTGGGCTAGAGGCTTATAGGCACTGCTTTTCAGCCGTAGCACCCACATTATGGTATAGCCTCCCCTTAGAAATCAGACTGGTCCCCACAGATTTAGCTTTCCAAAAACTATTGAAAACTGAGTCATTCCAGAGGGCTTATGGTGAGCGATTGGGTTGATTATATGCTTATGGTCCTTTTTAGCCTTCCCATGGTAGTTTTAGTTTTGATTGCCTTTATTTTTGTTGATGCTCTTAACTACTGAATCATTGGGAGTGTGGTTGATTGTGATGGGTATAAATTTGACAAATAAATAAATATTTCCTATATTGTTATTCAAGCCTATCCTCTAGTCTTTGACTTCTGGTTCTAGCAGAAATTAAAAGTTGTGCAGCATCAAGTCCTATTATCACCACCCTTTAAAAAGTAGAACTAACAATAGCAAGTCTCTGGTATGAATGCCTTTCTATTAGTGGTTTTTAATGTATTGTTTCTGTTTTTAATCCTTATAAGCTGCCCAGAGTTACTGGTGAGTGGTTGGCCCTAGAAATTTAAATTAAAAAACCCACAAATATTTGTAGTGCTCTCCTTCATATTCCACAGCGATTATTCTAGTGAATAATAGTAATGTAGAGAATGTAGAGATAACCTTGATAAAGGAATGCAGGAGTGGTTAAAGGAGCGGAAATGACAACTTAGTCTTGGGAAAGGAGAAAATGTAAAAAAAAAACTCAAAATATTCTCATTTTGATTCTGTTTGGTGTAAGAGAGAGCAAAGGGAAATTCTGGCTGGCTTTCAAGCTTCTGTTATTGTACCCTGTAACATGAAAGTACCATTCCTATAATCCTTATAGGATTATATTTCCTGACCTGTCTTATCTTGAAGGGCTGACAGACAAGAGCTCCTTCTGGGAAAGACAACTATCATGGACAGAATGGGAGCAGAGAAGTAGGGAGGAACTGTTTCAACTTCAGCTGTTTTAACTTAAGGACAGAATGAATCATTATCAGTGCCATAAAACAACAAAGAGGGTAAAGTATTTAAGATGTGTGATGCAGCTTGGAAGGGTTCTTTTAGAGTCCAATGATACAAGCAGTGGGAAGGCAGAAAATTTATGTTTTTAAGCCAACAAGAGCTTACCACTCAGGAGAAGCTGATTGCATCGGTATGAAGCTGGCAGTTGACCAACATCTTCTAATCTATGGCTCATTACCCGTGAAAGGTGACCAGTGTGAGAGAGGCTTCCCACAATAATGCTATGCAAATATACTGGCTCGATGAAGTAGCTAAGAAGTGCGCCTTGTAACCCAAGGACATTCCATCTGGAAAAGAAATTCAACAGTGAAAAAGATGTTCTGCAAGGCAGGAAATTAGAAGTGAGTTACACTGAGGTAACAAAATATGATACCAAATAAGATGGCAAAACTTGTAAGCGGGTGCATATGCTTATTCTGCAGAGAAGAATCTTGAGAGGATGCAATGGTTAAGTCTGTGATGGATCATATTCTTTGATCTAAACCAGTAACCAGAATACTGTAAACTTCCCCAATCTGATGCCATCCAGATGTGTTGGGACTTTAACTCCCATAAATCCAGTTCCAGAATTCTGGGAATTGTCCAAACATATCTGGAAGGCACCAAGTTGGGGGAGGTTGAGCTGGTAAGTTCTAGAGCTAACACTATAATGGAAGAGAAAATATGATCCTGCTAAAAATACTTTCTGTGACACTTCACGATAGACAGGCCTCAGATATATAAAATATGCCATTACATTGCTCTCTGCTCCTATGGGTTGTTATTAATATTTAGCTGGTCTCCAAAACCTTAAACTGCTTAGGTCCACAGTATCCTAGAGAACAGCCTTTTTGTCCCTCCAGCTTATGAATGTTTTGAGTTGGAGTTCATTCTGGAAGCCCTCCTTCACTGAGATCAGAATGGCATAGGACTTTTCTTCAGTAACAGCGCCTAGTTTATGCAATGCTTTTCTTGTCTAAGTTGGGGGGAGGGGGACACTAATCCCTACCAGCCTTTAGATATGAGGTCTAAACTTCCCTATTTGGTCAGAGAGTTTTGGGATTGTCTATAACTAACATAACAATGTAATTTTCCTCCTAGAGATTTTATCCACATTCCTAACACTTCATCCCATTCTTAAAGAACACTCTGTAAGAAAAACGCTACCACACAAACATTGTCTTTAGCGAGTTTAATGGTTATGAGCTGAAATACAGGAGACATTTTAGAAAAGGTTAGAGAGATTTTGCTATTTAAGGCAACATCCAGTGGTTGCCGTGCTGGAAAAAAAAGCATTTAAAGTGCAAATCTGTACCAGCAGGAAGCATTATGTAGCTAATTTCTTACATCATTGTTCTTTTCATTAATTAACATTTCTCAACCGTTAGTGCTATAATTGCGGTGCCTCTGTGCCGTACGTCTCTTTCCATGATTAATAAGGAGCCATTATACTTCCCTTTCCTGAAGCAGTCAATTAACACGAAATACTTTCCATTAATTACTGAATGTTTAAAACCAGCATGCTGTACCTGGAGAGCAATCTGCTCAAGGAACCTGTGACAAAAATTGCTTTCAGAAGTTCTTTTTAAATTTTATTCCACTCACTCACTCACTCTCTCACACACACACAAGAGCAAACCACAGGCAATTTAGTTGGCTATATTAATTTGCTTTAGAAGCAAGGCCTGCGAATGAGAAACATCTTTTAATCTCATGGAAGACAAGGCAGCCATCTGGCTGCTGAGGATTTCAGAGTGAGACTGCCCCTCTCTTTCTCTCTAAATGCAGGTCATTAAAATAATGTGTTCATCCTACATAAAACTCAAATGGAAGATAAAAGGTAATATTTATATACAAACAATTTAGTCCCACCATTTAAACAGTCATTGGTTTTATGAAACATTTGCTTTAGTCTATCAGATTTGCATATTTTCATTTGGGTTTGTGTGTTTGGGGGAGAAAATGCAAGTATATATGGTCATTTCTGCAGATTATCTATCTGTCTACCTACCAACCAACTTATTACATTTAAAGGCTACTCTGTACTAAAACAAATCAAGAATGAAATTAAAGGAAACTGGCAAGCTTTGCAAATGTTAAACAATTTTAGATCTATTTAATAATAGAACTGATTTGTCATCAGAAATTCTGTTTTGATAGAAATATGTATATGATCTCAAAATTGTTTTTGGTGTAATTTAGAACTGACTCCAAAACTTCTAAGATAAAACCTTAACGTCATCAGTATTTTCTTGTTGTTAAGAAGACATACCCAGTCCAATCTTGAGAATGGCCATTCTGTGGTTATGATCCTTTCCTATCGTTCATTCTACTGTCTGGTATTCAGATTATATACTATCACTAAACACAGAAGTTCCATCTAGCAGTTTAGGAACTCTGATGTAGCTTCACTGTTCAAAATTGCAGTGCATGGCATCTGACAGATTCATGGAGGACCAGGCTAAAGGATTCTCGTCTTTGGGGATACTTCCTACCTTCAGAATCACAGGCAGCCTGCCCTGAATACCAACTGTTTGGAAGCGACAGTGGAGGAGGACTATTTGTCTGTCTATGCTTATGAGCTTCTGGAATGCAAATGACGGGCCTATGGCACAGAATGTTGAATTAGATTGGCCATCAGCCTGATTCAGCAGTGCTCTTCTTGTGTCTTTAGGAGTAGCCCTAAACCTGGACTGAAATATATGTCTTAAGATCCATTTGATCAATTAATATTGCCTGGCCACTAAATTCCAAGAGGTGTGGAAGATGGGTTTTGGAAAACATTCTAATTTTTTCAGAAGCAAATTTCCTTGTTACTTCAAAGTCACCTGACTGACATTATGAATTTCACCAAAGAGACATTGAAGGAGACCTCCACGGTTGCAGGATGTATGTTGAAATTAGTCTGCTGAATGACTGTAAGAGAGAAGAGAACTCAAACATTGTCCTCCTTTAGAACAATATCTGGAAGAAGTCAACAAACCAATATGTGGATTCTACAGCCATACACATCCTTACCTACATCAGTTTTTTTTGTCTCAACTCATCACTATGTCAATCAATAAGTAGGGATCACAACCAACGGTTTGCATTTTAAAATTACCCACTCATCCAATAGAAATTCATTAGGTACGAAGTTAAACTAGTCTTTTCCATATGGAGAAGGATATGGTCTGATTTCTCTCCAGCAGTTCAAAGCCCGGAAACAGTTTTATTATGTTTTTTCCAGAACAAAAATTATCAACAGTAATGTTGTTTTCCAAAAGCAGTTGCATTTGTTTCAATAGAAAGTTGTAGCTATGATTCAACTGATTTTCCCATAGATAGCATTTTCAAAGTTAACATTTTTGAAACATTAACATGATTATAGAAAGTGAAGGTGCTACTGCATTCCAGGCACTCAATACATCAATGTGACTTGTCTTGCTAAGAAGGAATATGATGGATAGATGGATATTTTCTTTTAATTGTGCAGAACATTGAGAGTGCACCTTTCAAGGACACACTCCCAAGTGAAGTAACTTCACAAAGGGAAAACTGACTCATGTACTTAGGGGGAACAGGATCTTCAATCATTTTTAAAATTTTTATTGGGTTTTGGTTTTTATTGCTGTTGCGAGCAGTTTAGTTGTGTCTGGATGAGCGGCCATGTTTATCTTTTAAATAAATAAATTTAAATAAAATACCTGAATTTAAGCCAAACTATCCTACTGAAACCAGGGAATCTGGGTGGGTTTAAATCCAAGTTCTTGGGACTGAATTTTAGTGCGAACCTGGCTTTAAATATAATCCCTTCTCACTGTAATAAGAAAATACAATATACAAAAGAAACACATTTAATTGCAGTTATTTCTGCTTTTTGTAATACAGTAATTCCTATTAAATTTTACATGGTTTTCTATTGTCAAGAACTGAAACTCCAGAATCAAAATGGAAGGAATCCAAAAGAAGCTAGCCTTTAGTTCCCTATAAGATATATTTAAAAGCAAACAAGAATTGTACATAGTCAATGCTCAGTGCTGCACTCGAAAAATGTAGCTTGTGTATTTATCCTGGTTGCTGAAGGCCAGTTCTGGAGTGTCGGCTTCCAGGAGCAGTGGGTGGTATCCTAGAATCAGCTTTTTTTAGTAATCTTCCCTCTCAGCCTTAGTATGTAATGTTTCTCAAATTGTTCTTTCTTCCGCCCATAACCTTAGGCTGGTTCTTAGGTTTTAATTCTTTTATGAATGATTCTTTTCAGACTATATAGAAGAGATTCATGTTGAAGCTTTAAGCCAAAACTTTAGTAAATGGAAACATTTCTGTATAATAATACAGTGAAAAAAACTTTAAACACAGCTTTGAGAGAACATGCTTTCTACTTTCATCAGCATGCTGAAAACAAATGACTGATCAGCAAATTGAAAATAACTAATTGAGAAATAGTAGAAAGTGGGGGAAACTAAAAAATTACACAGAGAATTGTCAATATTCCAATTTTAAATGTTTATCTTCTTGTCCTGTACAGTATAATATTACTGATATTAATCCATGTGGTTTGCTTATTTTCAACACTTGACACCTCTGCTCACTTTTAATCATCCAACCTGTTTTTTTCCCTCTTCCAACAGAAGTTGTATTACATTGCTTACCGAATTTTGGACCAGCTGAGCATTGAAACTCAGCTGTGCCTAGAGAAAAGCTATACTCAATTAAAAAGTACATCTTTTGCAAGTGAAGATCCCAAATTCAGTCTCTAGCATCACTAGTTTAAAAATAAATCTTGGGAACAGAGATCTTTGCAGGGTCAAAGCTTCCATCAAAACTATGAAAACAATGTTGCCCAGTTGCAACACAAGCCCTCTCCCTTTCATATACGCTTGTAATGTCACGAGACAACTGCAAAAGGGGTGGAGCTTGTATCATGACAATGCACTGCTACTTTTGTCATTTGTCCTCCCTGGACCCCCTTCTCCCATGGATACCTCTGCTTAGGAAAATGCGGTTAGAAAAGACCTTGGCTGTAGGTTTTGGAAAGCCAGCCCAGGAAAAGAGCTTTTATAAGAAGGAAATAGCCATCAGAATCCTGCTATCTTGCCTTTCTACTCAGTCTGGGTCTGCATTTATTCTAAGTGGTATTGGGATGCTAGCTGAAGCCCCAACGTATCTGCATTGCACCAATGAAGCACCAAGGCTGCATTGCTGCCTCGAATATTATTTGATCTATGAAGATCTTATGCTTCACAATCCTGGAGCTAAATATAGAAGTCCAATCTCCTGACCACGTCAAATTACCCACTCTGGATTAGTAAGTGAAGATGAAGTGGACTTATTCTCCATTGCCCCAGAAGGTAGGGTTAAACTAAAAGGAAGCAGGTTCAGACTAGAGGGACTTCTTGGCTGTGTGAACCAGACGTGTTTCCAAGATCTATTGCTTTTGCTGAAATGTCAAAAGTAGCATTGTACCATTACAACCAAGCTCTGCCCCTTTCATACATGGGTACAGAAGGGTTGAAGCAGCTTTTGTCATTTGTCCCCCCTTTCCTTCCCTGTGGACACTACTGGACTTGGCTGCCACATTAAGTGGGGACTTCTCCTTCACTGTGGTCTTCAAACAGAGGCTGGATGGTCTAGTAGTAGATCCTGCACCGAGCAGGGGTTTGGAGTAGATGACCGGCGATCTCTATGATTCTATAGAGAAATCTATTGCATAGGAGGAAAGTTGGACTGTTTGTGGCCATCTGCAGCAAAGCTAATGTGCATGGTGGTAAAGCTCTGCAATCCACTGCCCAGAGAATCATACAGCCAATTATCAAAGCTTGCTCCTATATTTCACACAGTAAGGATAGCTCTTCATGGTCATCTTGAACTTTCCAGGACACCTGGTGCTTTTCTTATTATATCGCACCTTGGCTATTATGTTTTGGAAACAAGAATTACTGCGAAAGAATTTGATCAGTATTTTACCAGTGGGGGTATCTCCACTTTTTGTATCTGATAGTGAAAAACACTATCAATCTCTAGTCAAATAAGATTGTACAGATTGTCTCTGGTTGGGGAGCTGAGCTTGTTAATTGATTTCTGCTGCCATTAGTTTGTAGCTCATTTTCAAAGCAGCAGATTCTAGGATCGAACCTTCCTCAGCTAATAGATGAGAATCCCAACAGTCTCCCACTAAAAAGACCCGTTAAAGCTTGAACTGTTTTTTTAAATATAACTTTTTTCTTGTGACCAGATTGTTTTCCTTTAATTGCTTTGCATATAAGAGCATTTCCTTTTTAGCGCTAATGTTTCTGCAGAGATGGCATTAAAGTTCTGAGAGTCCCAGCAGAAAAGGAAGGGAGATGTCTGGGCAACCTGACACCTATTGCATCCATAAGTTATCTTGCTAAGATATTTCAAAATGTCAAGTGACAAATATGTTTTGTTTTCAAGAAAATAAAAATAATGTTGAGGTTAGGTAGCTATTTAAAACTTTACTCTGGCTTGTCACTTGAATTTGTCCAAACTATAACAGGAAATGCAATGCCATTTTCACTTCCAGGTAGCTCATAGCATCAGGCCATACTACCTCTGGAGAAACATAAGAACCAAAGTAACTGAGGTCTATTCTGATACCTACTCTGTGTCATGCACTGGATATATCCAAAGTCTCACCATGATCCTGAGGGAGAAACTGTCAGCAGTTAAAATACTGATACTGCTAGATGAACTATGGGCTCTTGAATATGAGAGGACTTGGCCAAGATCTCCCTCAAAGCCATCTCAGAGTAATATCAAATGCCACTTTCAGGTTTCCCTTGAACTGAGGATTCCAGAAGATGGATCGTCTCTCAAAATACAGAATGCTATCACAAAATTTACAGATCTTCAAGATTCTATAACGATGCTGAGTGCTTTGAATTATAATCAGATTGACGAAACTGCTTTCTTGGTTCCATATCTCGTGAGCACAGAAATATGATAACAGCTGTTGGATAAATTATTAACTGTGCGTTATTCACTAGGCTCCAGTAATTCTTTCTAATCTATTAGAAAAATACTACTTTGACTCGTTTTCTTTTTGTAAGTCAGGCAAATATATTGCTTTAAAGCAACTATGACCAATGTGCTCAATAGGGAATTTTCTCCAAATCACTAAAACCTTTAAAAAGTAAATACAATCAAAGGTCCATTTGTCAATGAATTTATTTAGGCAAATGTGTACTTTAAGCCCTTGCATCCTATAGAGAAACAACTAGCATATATTCAAACAAAGAGACATTTATTTATTTATCAAACTTAGAAGGCTGCCCAAGTCCATAAAGACTCTGGGCAACATACAACATTAAAAACAGCAGGAACCAATATAACAAAGCCATGTTTTGGATGGCTACCCCCTCATGTTCTCTTCCTTTTTTATAGTGAGCTGTCATTAAAATAAATTCCTAATACTGTGCTGTGGAAGTCTTTCAACTGAGTATGATGGAATTCATACTGCATCTATAACCAACATTCATTTATGGTTAGTGCATTTTTTTCTCTATGCACATAACTTTTTTCACATTCCACCCTGATAGTTTCTAACTGTAGACATTATTATGGCTGTATGTGTTACTAATGCTGATGGGGGACATATTTGTTGGTTTGCGTTTTAATATTACATTATCTAATTTAAACACTTTAGCTAACTTTGGCTGTTCTGAAAAACCTCACAAGATGGTAGAATTGCATTTCATGGTAACTTCTTTACATGGTCCAAACTTTAGTTATTTCTAGCCAGTAGGGCCAATGGACAGAATCCTGAGAAGGATGCTGACATTTATACAATCTGAAGAGAAACCAGAATATGAGAATGACCTCACCTGTATGTCATCTCTTCCCTGATTTTAACAGGCTTAGAACTGACTAAAAAGCCCATGGCACAGTTATATGAATGTGTAATTAATAAATAATTACATAAATAATTATAATTATCCATTATAATACTTTGAATATTAAGGTGGTGGATTGTCTTTTGATCCTGGAATCAAGCATGATAACATGTCACATTATTTTGCAGCAGTAGAAGTCTGTAGGAGAGATTCAAGTTCTCAACTGATTTCCATTATCTGAAGAAAATGCAGCTTTGGACTCAGGACTGAAATTGACTTTTTCATCAATATTAAAATATAATCTGGTTCTTGAGTTGATATTTAATTTATTACATATCGACATACAGAAAACTAGAGACAGCAACATTTTGTCAGGGAAGCCATAATTGATTTAGTTATTCTCTTCTTCCTGAAATCTGATTTCAGAAGTTGGGTTGTACTCAGAAGCAGTGGGGGAATAGCACTAGAGGCTTTTCCCTTATCTCTCTGAGAAAATATTAGAGAAAATTTTGATCTAATGCCATTATTTTGTGATTGTTTCATTACCTGTGTGTTGTATTATTCTGATGTAGTGTCATTAGACTCCTGTATTATTGTTAAAGTTGGATCAATCAGAAGAAAACATATCCTGATTGGACAATACTATTGACTTTAAACAGATTATTATTTAATAAAGTAAGCTTTTAAAGTAAATATTTTCATGCTGCTTACAGCAAAATAACATTTCTCTTTCTCCATAAAGCATCACCACTCTCTTGTGTACAGAATTTAATGCATGTACCTAAGTGAGCCCAATAAAATAATTAATTTAGCCCTATATGGATGAAACTTCATGGGGGAGGAGAGGTAGGAAGAAAAAAAGTAAGTTTCTTCCACTGGGGAGGTAAATATTGAGGAGTGGAATACCATTTATTGGATCTTATCACCTTGTATAAAGTAAATTGAACTGATACATGTGCATGGTTGATTAGCAAGAGAACAAGGTGTTATATATAACATTATTTGTTACGTTTGCTTTATTATCGAAGAGCTATGTACTCCAAGATGTAATTTGTCAATTGGGCACTGTTTTTGTGGCCTGTTGTTTTAGAACTAATGTCGTCTACAGAAACATAACTTGGCAGTATCCAGTTCTGTGCTGAACCAGAGGAGCATTTAGAATGGCTAATGAAATTTTGCAAACTCGAATTTACTTTTTCTCTTTGGACTAAGAGGGACAACTGGTTGTATTGCTCAGGATTAGAAACACATTGCTTGGGCTTCTTCTTAGTCAGATAAGCAAGATGTGTTTATAACAAACAAACATCTATGTAGACAACTGCTGTGCACTTTTTTATAGCTGTGGTTTATAAGTAGAATGTTTTGTTCCATTGAAACCTTCCCCTTCTCCAACCCATTAGGATCCAAACAGGCAGCTGGTGTGCATGCTTTACCTTCTACCCTTTGGCCTGCATAGATGTCCTTCCTCTGTTTCAGTCTAGGTTTATTACAGTTTCTCAGTTATAAGGTCACCAACTATGGGCAAGCTTCTTTGAGAGACAGGTTGGAAAGTGTTCAGTATTTCTGTATGGGCTCCCACAATGGCATATACTGTTGGGTGCATTCTAAAACATTCACTGGAATCACCTACCATGCATAAGAACTTCACAATAAGTGTCACTGGTTCCTTGCTTGATAATTCAGAGTACAAAAGATAATTCAGTGTACAAAACAGGTGAGTCTGAAAATCACCTAAGTGCAGGTGAACTCTCTCCTATGGAAGACCTACATTACTGAAATGTAAACCTATGAAAAGCATATTAGTCCTGATCCAATTGCTACAGTGCATATGTGAGAGCATGGAAGGGCACTGCATGATCAGAAACATCACTCTTCTCTCTAGTGTTAGGGCATTTTCCATCAGAGAAAGCAAGGCATTCTCAAGGAGCATACACATATAGCATTTTGAAATGGTCAAGCCAATCCTAACACAACGGTTTAAAACAATGTAATGATATGGCAACACTAAACAGGTTCTTCAGGATTTAGTTTAGGATTTATTTAATTAATACCATTTTCATGCTCACTGCTCCTGTTCTTCAGTTTCATTAAAATATTACCTGGCAATTTTGTCTGTGCAAGACATTGTGACTAGCTGTTCCCCCAGCAACACACCATCCCATGTCTGAACTGCACTGGGACATCGAGCTGGAATGGTTCCTTCTCCAGATTCAATCTTTGTTCGAAGATGCCCACGATACTTTCTTACTATGTGCTTAATGCTGTTCACTAGGTTAAAAAGGAAAGGGATGCAGTGAGAAAGAGACACAAGAATCATCATTTGCATGTTTATTTCCTAAAATCACCAAATGTAAGCAGGCGCAGAAGACAATTGTTTCTCTCAACCACTCCATGCACAGTATGCCAACTTGAACTGAACCTCTTATCCTTTGGACATCTGTCTGATAGTAAATCCCACTGAAGATGGGGGGACAGCTTCTGAGTAAGTGTTATGTTGCATAAAGCTAAGAATCCAAGTTCTCTGTTCACCTCCCACTTTATCTCTAATGGGTAGGATACTAAGAGGAAGACTGTGTCAGATAACCACAGTATCCAGCAAACTGATATGAGAGATGCCATTCCTTCGTAGTTCATCTTGTTGGGACACTGGCAATATGATTTTCTTAGGAAAACATTAGCATCTTAAAAAAAAATTTTTTTTATTGAGTTGCCCAGTTAAACTTCTAGCCACTTCATCTGTATCAGGTTAATTTATAGGATATCTTCAAGAGCCATCCTATGTGCAAGGTATGGTATTCTAAAGATGCAATCCTGAATATATTTACCTGAAAGAAATTCCCACTGAATTAAACTGAATTTAATTTTGGATTAATAAGCTTGTGTTATTAAAAAACAAAACAAACAAACAAAACCCAAAGCTGGAAAGTCATGAATTTTATCAAAATACTGGGCAAAAAAAGTGGTGGTTGTTGAATTTACTCCTCAGCCATGTTGCTGTCTTTCTCCTTTTTTTTTTTTCCCCAACCTGTTGGCTTTGTTATAGTGTATTTTTACAACCTGTTAGCAAGAATTGAAGCAATTGACTGACTCTGAATGATGCCAATGGATGGTTTACAAGAGAAAAAAAGGTAATGGGAAAAATTAAATTGCTTTAGTAACCTGGGATTACTAAGAACAAATTCATGTGGAACAGTTGAGTCAGCTCAGTTCTGTTAACTGCTCTGTCGGCTCCAGATCTGGTCATCACCTTCTTCTGTAGTTAAGGTTTAGCAAGTGCTATTTGCAATTTAATTATTAAGCATAATTAAATTTTTACATACAAAATGCACTGTAGTCTGTTATATTGTTCATTCTTTCAACACAAGGTAGTACAGTATACCATTACTTATGTTTTATAGAAGAACATTTTAGATGATGGTTGCAGTCCAACAAGAAGTCATGCGGCTTACGTCCCAATGAAATTGGAGAAAGCCCTAAATAGATGGTCAGGAACTGGGAGAACCCATAAAAATTCCAAAGTAATGCCATGAGGCTGTCAAGTGGATTTCCATCTGTTAAGAAAGCCATGGATGGTGATCAACTTATTCTGTCCTGACCTCCTAATCTTTTGTACTTCTCTTTTCTGGATACTTATGACTGGAAGTCCAAATATTCCTGTCAGGGAGTTATGTTCAGGTGAACAGAGATCCTATTCTTATATTCCCAAGTTTTAAAAGACCAGAGTCAGTGTTAGTTTTATACCTGGGAGCATAAGATTGTTTTCTACCTTCCCATTTGGTCTGAAGCAAGTTCATTACTGCCAGAGACTGCCCATTGTGAAAATTGGTCTTGAGACAAGGCAAGGCATCTTTTGCCTGGGATCTCTGAAATACAATAATTGCAGGAAAAATAAGAGGTCTCTGCACATATCTGGATAGTGAAAATCCGAACTGACTGAGCTGGGTTGGCATGGCTCTGGAAAATGTTCAGATGTTCCAATAGCTCACCTAATTTTCTTATTGTTTCATCCTTATCAACACACACACACACACACACACACACACACAAAATATGCCTTCAAGCTATTTTCTATCACACTGAGCTACTTTTCAAATTTCAGATCTCAGATTGCTACCTGGACCCTGCCTTCAATTCTGTATTTCAAAGCTTGAAAAGCAGAAATCATAGAAAGTAGAGACGTGAACATGCAGAAAGAAGAACATTGTCTGAAAATACCAGCAATTCTGGAACCAATTGCACATACTTTAATTTACATGACTTTGATTATACTAAGTAAATGTTAGCTGCCAATAATCAAAGTTTGAGCAAAGGTACACTGACAATCATAACTGCCAAATGCAAACTTGATTCAGACATACTCTTGTCAGACATTTTTCAAATTTCACTCCTATTTTAGGCCAATTCAGAAATATCTGAATCCTCCATTTTTATACTTCATGTTCATTATCTTATATAAAAAGCTATGGGGATAAAAAGAATCCAATAATTCTTCAACTCTAAAACTGTCCTAAGGCTAGGCTCCTGTTTAAGATGAAGGTTGGCAACCTTTTCAGGTGCAATTAAGCAATCTGAGACAACAGTGTGGATGCACGACCACAACAAATAATAATAAAAAAAATCAAATATGAAAGACTGAACCCTAACAAGATATTAACATCTTTGCAAAATTTTGGCAATCTTATCTCCCAAATTTCACTATCTCATACGAAAATAGTGAAATCTCTTAAGAGAATGCCAAAAATCTTGTGGGATGTCATGATCTTGCAAAAGTTCACCATTTTAATTAAAAAATGCAAATATAAAAAATGTTACTTCATTCTGGGAGTCTACAGATGCTACCTTGGGCTGCTGCCATGTTGCCGACCCCTCCGACATCACTTCATACAAAGATTAGAGAAGAGAGCCTCTGAGAATTGCAGTTGTTTTTGCAGCTAGAAAACTTGGCAGTGTTTGAAAGGTTTCTGACAAGGGAGGTCCTGTGTATCTTGATACACAGGCCTAAAGCATTACTCACAGGTAAGAAGCAATGTTTGAATTGGGGATACAGAAACACAAGCAACCTTTCTGATTTTCAGAACTCTTCCAGCTGAAAAATGGTTGGGTAAATATAGAACATTTCCTGAACAGGTACAGATGTATAACATGTACAACTTACATGCTCTGCATGTAGTGACTAGGAGCTCATCCTCAAGTACCCCTAATTACAGCACAAAGATGCCTCCCTAATTCTTTTTAAAGGGTGTATTTTCATGAAGACACCTTCATCTCATCACTGGTCCAGCACAGAGGCAGCTGAAATTCATTTTTAGCTGTCTTCAGTTTTTGCTTCTCCCCTTCTCCTGGCAGAAGTCTTGCCCTACTAACGACCTACAACCCCTCATTGCTGATGTTAGTGAGCATGGATCAGGATCTGGTATCTGTCCTGCTCCCAGTGACCACTAGAGGTTGCTGCAGGCATGCCTCCTCTGGTTTCTAGGCACTGAACTCCATGCTGGTTTGGCTTGGACTGCAGGAGAAATCTGCACCTTGGCAGTTTTGAAGGAGCACAAGAGCAGTTTGGTAAGCACAGGCTGAATACTCTTTGGAAAGGTTGCTAGACCTGGATTTAAGAAACAACCTTATGTGGAGAGGGTACTAACCCAGAAGATCAATTTAAACTGGAAAGAGAGCTGGGTTCTGCCAGTTGTATGTTGCTGGTGTAATGCATAATACAGCACTCAGTTTATAGAGATAGGAGGCCTATTGGATTCAGAAGGCTACAGGGACCATGATTTGGTTAGAACTGTGGGAAAAATGGAGGAGATAGGTGGATTTCACTATACCCTCCCTTTCCTCCATAATTCAAGGATGGCCAGAGGGATCTCCCATCTATAAAATTATTAAATTCTGCAGCAGTTGGGCCTATACAAAGCTGGTTTGGATATGAGCAAGTAGCTCAGTAGAACTGCAGAGATCCACTCAATACATGTACGAAATGGGCCAATCCTGATCAATAGACCACTTGCACTTAATGGGAGGCTCCATTTATTTTGGAATAATTATTTTGATACAGGCTGTTCCAAAAGATATTTATATGTAGTCGGGTAATGACATGTCTGCAAGAAAACAACCAAGCTCAGAGAACTCCAGGGACTCTACAGTTCAACCCTGAGCTACATATATTCTCTTTCAAAAGGTATTTCTCAAAGATGTCTGGAGTATCATTGCTGCTTAGTCAGAAATCCTCATCTGCCACTGCTTGTTTCTGCACGAAATGGTGAGGTTGATCCAAACTTCAACAGATTCTAAATCTTTGTGATTTTTGCATCACTTATTCTCCCTCTTAATTATCTTCACTAATGGTGGGGGGTGGGGGGCAGGAAGAAAAAAGGAGGAAGCAGCTGAGAAAAGGCAACCAAAGATGTGACTTCATCCGAAACCAGATGTCAGTCTGACCCAAGTGTTAGAGAGGACCAATTTAAAAATCATTTGGTATAACTTTATGGTGTGTGCCTGACTAGACCTTGCATGTGTAAATCACTGCTCGGAGTTTCAGAGAAAGAGGAAAAGACAAAGAAAAAGTGCCGAATTACTAATATCAATGAGATACTTTAAATGTATAGAGATAAATCCTCCCCTTAAAAATGCAGTACACAGTAAGTTCAATTATTTCTGCAATAATCTGCAACGAGTCAGCCTTTTTTATCATGACAGACAATGCATTTTTAGTAAAAGGCAAATTAAAATTCTTCCTCTTTAAAAAAAAATGCTGGAAATGAATGGTGATTAAACAGAATCATATGAGTAAAAACCTGTCTGAAATTCACATGTGGCTGACTCAGAAGTTCATTTTCTCTTTCTCTGCTTCACTGGATCCTACTTTTTTTCCCCTCTGTCAAGGGGGGGTGAGGAGGGGGAGAAGCTATCTTTCATTTTACCCCTTATATACTGGCCACTGAGTTCATCACTACAGTTTACAAAGTATTGGAAAGATGCTTGATGACCAAAACAAGTTCAAATAGCAATAAAATGTGCTGTAACAAGATTTCAGTGGACTCTTTGGTTGATTAATTGGGGAAGACCACATTTTAATAGGTAGAGCTTCAAGTTATTTTGAAAGCTTATTTTGAGGCTCTTTAGAGCACTATTATATTACTGCAATACAGAATAAAAGCCAGTGGAGTGGCCATTCTGCTGGACCAAAGCAACAAATAATTCTGCAATAATGTAAAGATTAAAGAATATGTTCTGGAATACCTTCATAAACAGTTCATACATTTGCTCAAGTT